TGTAAGAGTTTTCTCTCATGCAAAGTCCAAGGCCCTCCCCACTATATCCAGGTTGAGCAAGGGTGTTTTGCACTCTCTTAAGATAGAAGGGAGGCAGGAAAAGGGTTGTGGAAGGAGTGGAGGGAGAGGATGAAGTGGGAATTTGTATTGGTATTTTTTTTAAAGTAATAAAATTTAAAAAGTGAGAACAAAAGAGTTGTCTTTCTTTGAAATGAGTCAGTTCAACACTAAAGTTTATTAGTATTTTGTGAACATGTTATGTTAAAAACATTGACAAAGGCATATAACTTTGCATGTATTTCCACAATTTCAGGAATTATTGATTAATAATAAATTCACACGTTATGTCAGTAAGTTGACTGTACATCAACAATTACTCCTGATGGCCATTGGAAATGGCAAGTTCTTTTATTCAAGTCTTACTAATATTAACACTCATCTTATGCATTTTATGTTACACAATGACAAATAGGATAAAGAATTGCTAAGAATTATTAAATTAATAACCATTAAAGAGACTACAGGATTCAAAGAAGTTTTCATAAAAGCTTGAACAGTACACTCATATAAATGCAATAGGAGCCATTGGAGGTAGTTAGGTAAGACATTTAGGAACCCTATCCTGAAGGAATTTTGCAAGACAAAAATCTCTTCAAGACAAACTTGGTCCAAGGGTAGTCCACATGTGGTCAACTCATCTAATGTCAATTCTAGTTAGCCATGGCAGGAAGGTAGGGCCATCATGAACTGCAGTTCTGGAGTCAGAGCTGAAAATTTCTCATTTGTTGATTTCATGATACATGTACCACAAGATCTGATGATAATAAAATAAGTCTCCACACATCAGTGTTAGGGTTATCTCCTTTTATATGAATGTTGTATCATTTATTTGTCTGGTGTGTATGATAAACTTTTTGGAATTGTTTTTTGCTTTATATGGTTTTGAAATGCCCATATTCCCATGTGGTCTTCATTTAATTTTACTACATAAGTTCAGAGAAGGTAAGAGTCAAATTGCCTAAGCAGATTATTTTTTAGTCTGTGTCCCATGGTTCTTACTGTGTTATTCATTTCCAATAAATAAAACAGGAAGTCATTCTGCCTTGGGATTTGTATTCAAAACTCAGCATTTTGTTCTTTGTTCTGTTCCTTTGTCTGTCTCAACAGCCCTGTGTGATTTTTGAGGGGCTGGGCAGATGAATCACTGTTTGCCCTAGTGGAGAACCAGGTTTGATGTCTCAGCACTCACACAAAGTTAACGTTCAGTAACTCCACCTTCAAGACATGTGATGCCCTCTTCCCTGCCTAGGCATCAGGCCCTCATGTGATGCCTATCTATACATACAGGCAAAACACTCCAACACATGAAATAAAATGAAGACACCTTTGAAAGTAGTAGCAAATGGCCTCTGGGGCAGGGGATGGAAATAGAATCACTCGGTGCAGGGTACCACCTGAAAACACCAATTGTAATAGCTTAGAGCAGAGCACACTGTACTCCACATAATACTTTCTTCTTCCCACCGCAGGCAGAACCCATGCCCTTTACAGCATACTTAGGCAAGTTCATTTTGTGGCTTGAAAATTAAGTGTCTCTTCTCTAAACATTTAAGCAAAGAATGAAAAGAAAAGCAAAATTCGATAATAAAATTGTGCTGTTTGAAGGAGATGATGCTTTGTTCATACAAAAGAAAAAAAAAAGAAAACAAATGTCTTCCAAAGGCATAGTTGAAATCTTTTGAGGAATACTGCTTGGCCTGCTTAAGAGCGTTATTCAGAAAGTTCTTTTTGTTTCTGAGAGTGCGGGGGAATGGGAGGGATTACAAAGGAGTATATGGGGGGGGGGGGCGTCTGAAGGGTGGAAAAGCAAGGAAAAAGGTGATGTAATTGTATTTTAATTAAAAATATGTGTAAGATTCTGGGTATGGTGGCATAGGCCTTTAATCCCAGAATTTGGGAAGCAGAAGCTGGTGGATCTTTGGGAGTTCAAGACCAGCCTGCTCTATCTAGAAAGCAAGCTCCAAGACAGTCAGGGCTACATAGTGAGCAACTTTCTCATAAAAAAATGTATTAAAAATATCATTTCTTTTTTCCTTTTTTTCAAGACAGGATTTCTTTGTAGCTTTGTAGCCTGTCCTGGAACTTGCTCTGTAGATCAGGATGGCCGCGAACTCACAGAGACTCTGCCTCCCGAGTGCTGGGATTAAAGGCATGTACCACCACCTCCTGGCTAAAAATAAAGACTTTTAAGTGTTTTGTAGGACCGGGAAAAAAAGTATGTTTGCTTGTGTTGCCTATTTTGAAACATTAGCAAAATAAACCATTAACTGCTTTCTTCCCACAGATGAGGGGTATGTCTGATAAGTCACTGAGACTAGTGTTGTCCACATTTAGCAACATACGGGAAGAACTTGGACATCTTCAAAATGACTTGACAGTAAGATTTGTTTCGAGATTTCTTTCCAAAATGTTTCTGATTCTTAGCTTTCTAACAGAAATCAAAACATTCAATATACTTCTTAAATGTATTACAACATTACAATATTACACCTACCTAGACACAAATTATTTGTGAAATAGCTAATTAGCATTAAAAGATGACAAAAGAACTTCCCCACGGGTGCATGAATATATATTGACATGCACCAATCTTTTAATTTACCACCAAAATAATTTAGTGCTTAAAACAGAGTTGCCTATAAAATTAAAACAACCATAGCCATTTAATAGAATTTCCCTTCTTTACTGTAATAATAAAGCGTACTTTGAATTTCTCTTTAAATAAAACAACTTGAAAACCCCTTCCTGCCAATACTTAACCTTTCATATTTTCTTATTTTAATTGTACTTTTGGTGCCATCAGGTAGAACATTCTGAATGCTCTCTTCACAGTGAAAAACACCTTAAGGACTTTGGAGCACTTTTTTCCTAATTTTCTGGTTTGTTTCTGCATCCTCATGAGTGTAATTGAACATTAATTTGAAAATTGTCCACCTGCTGGGATTAAGAAGTCTTTGTAGATTGAAGTAAGACATAAAAATGATTGAGCACTTTCTGCTTCATTGCACTTAGCAGTAGCCAATCCATCAAAACAGCCCTTCTAATACATGTTTTCAAAGCTTGGGTTTTTCTATCTTAGCTTTTGCTTGACTTTGAAGAATTCTACTTTTTTAAGCAGTTACAGATGAAACAAGTGTTTATTTAAATTTTGCAACATAAATAAGCCTTTGCCTGTTAACAGTTTTATATAACTCTGAGTCCTAATAAGTAATTTATGCCTTTAGTCTCTGGAAAATGACAAGATAAGACTTGAGAAGGACTTGGCATTCAAAGAAAATCAAATAAAAGAGTATGAAGAACTCTTGGCATCGGTGAGAGCAAATAATCGCCAACAGCAAGTAAGTTGATGTCTTTTGTAGTTGATACTCTAGATTGATAGCTTTCCATATGCACAATTACTGGCATACTGGAGTTCTAAGATACAGTTCAGAGAGTCTTAGTGTAATGGAACACTTTGTTCACCTAAGAATTGAACAGCTTTGAATATTTTTTGTGTGTTTTTGTTTTTTTTTTGGGGGGGGGGCGGGTTCGAGACAAAGTTTCTCTGTCACTTTGGTGTCTGTCCTGGAACTAGCTCTTGTAGACCAGGCTGGCCTGGAACTCACAGAGATCTCCCTGCCTCTACCTTCCGAGTGCTTGGATTAAAGGCATTCAACACCACCGCCCGGCTAGCTTCGCATATTTTCAACAACTGAATGTCCTCTCAAACACACACACACACAAAACAAAACCTGGCAACGTTATGTGTTAGATAGTATATGCAGCACACAGTTCTCTGTACTTTGGAGCAACATGATTTGTCACTGAAAGTCGATGTTGACTCATTCTTTTAATCTAATGCTATGTTAATGGAAAAAGAAGCTTTGTAGATCTTGTTTGTTTACTGAATAAACAAGGGAATGAACTCTATGCACTTTTATACTTGACTGAGCAGAGATAAATCTAACCAAACTCTAATGATGCCCAAGAGTTTGTTCTCTCTTTTTTTTTCTCATGGCTTTCCCAAAGATTTTATAAAGTTGATATTTTTTACCACAATCAAGGGCATGATTATTTTAGTGACTATCAGTATACTATGATGTGGTCAGACTATCATGAATATAATAATAAATTGGGACACTGAAAATTTTATGTAAATGTTTATTTTTACTCAAGTTAGGCAAATGAGATTAGAGACAATCTTAATGTTTAGTATGATGTTTAAAATATCATCTAAAGGCAAGAGTCTCAAAAGATTCAGTTTGAAACATTTGCTTTATTTTTCACAATGAATCACTTAAAAGGCCATTTCAACTTTAAAATCAAAATGCATTTTCTTATGGACTTGTGTCTTCTTTGCAGCAAGGACTTCAAGACTCAAGCTCAAAATGTCAGACATTGGAAGAAAATAACCTTTCTCTTCGACATACACTATCAGACATGGAATACAGACTAAAAGAACTAGAGTATTGTAAACGTAATTTAGAGCAAGAGAATAAAAACCTTAGAATACAGGTACTAATCTTTATAGTATTGTCCTACTTAACTAATTATAAAGCTATCATTGTTAACAGAATACACAAACTTTACCTTGTGAAGTACATTGACTCCTTTCTGTTGACCTTAAATGAAAGTTTTATCATGCTGACACTTGAACTTTGTCAAATAATCTCTCAAGGTCATTTTTATTATTTCAATGTCTTATTTAATCACACAGTATTCATGTAATAATAAATACTGAAGCCTAATATATATTTCCTTCTTAACAATCCAATTACAGACAGTTATTTTGTTTTTGAACAGGTCTCTGAGACTTGCACAGGCCCAATACTACAGGCTAAAATGGATGAGATTGGCAACCATTATATGGAGATGGTAAAAAACTTAAGAATTGAGAAAGACAGAGAAATCAGCAAGCTAAGGGTATGTTGATCCTATATTGAATAAATATACATGTCTATAGAAACTTTTTTCAACAAAAGTGATGCTTGGACCTTGAGAGGTAACTGAGATGTTTAATCATGGGGAGCAGAGTTTGGGTCTGATCACCAATGTAACAAACCAGTCAGCCTTCAGATGCCTGTAACTACAGCTCTCCAAGATCTAGCTCCCTCCTCTGGCCTCCTTACACATGCATGAAAAGAAAAATTTTATTAAAGAAAATGATTTTATCACCATCAGCACCACTCCCCCACCCTATTACCATTAAAAAGAAAAATAAATATGATTGTTTTAATTTTAAATCTACAAAGAAAAATATGTAAGTTAAAGATTTTTTTATTTATTTTTACTTAAAGATTTCCACCTCCTCCCCTCCTCCCATTTCCCTCTCCCTCCCCCCTCCCCCTTCCCCTCCCTCTCCAGTCCAAAGAACAGTCAGGGTTCCCTGCCCTGTGGGAAGTCCAAGGTCCTCCCCCTCCATCCAGGTCTAGGAAGGTGTGCATCCCACAAAGACTAGACTCCCATAAAGCCAGTACATGCAGTAGGATCAAAACATAGTGCCATTGTCCTTGGCTTCTCAGCCAGTCCTCCTTGTCCGATATGTTCAGATAGTCCTGTTTGATCACATGCTCCATCAGTCCCAGTCCAGCTTCCTTTGGTGAGCTCCCATTAGATCAGCCCCCACCGTCTCAGTGGGTGGGTGCACCCCTCGTGGTCCTGACTTCCTTGCTCATGTCCTCCCTCCTTCTGCTCCTCATTTGGACCTTGGGAGCTCAGTCCAGTGCTCCAATGTGGGTCTCTGTCTCTAGCTTCATCCATTGCCAGATGAAGGTTCTATGGTGATATGCAAGATATTCATCAGTATGGCTATAGGATAGGGCCATTTCAGGCTCCCTCTCCTCAGCTGCCCAAGGATCTAGCTGGGGACATCTCCATGGACACCTGGGAACCTCTAGAGTCAAGTCTCTTGCCAACCCTAAAATGGCTCCCTTAATTAAGATATATACTTCCCTGCTCCCATATCCACCCTTCCTCCATCCCAACCGTCCCATTCCCCCAAGCTCTCCCCATTTCCCCTTCCCACTTATTTCTCCCCATTTCCCCTTACCCCACCCCACCCCCAAGTTTCCAATTTTTGCCTAGCAATCTTGTCTCCTTCCAGTATCCAGGAGGATTACTATATGTTTTTCTTTGGGTTCACCTTCTTATTTAGCTTCTCTAGGATCACGGATTATAGGTTCAAGGTTTTCTAAAACCTTTCCTTAAAATTATATTTCTGAATATTAAAAAGCAATGAAATTTCTAAGTGCTATCTTAAGTTAAATTATTTTCTACTGTAGGTTATTTTTTCTTCTCAGGTGTTAAAAAGATATTAATTTCATTACCTTGATTTTTATTAATTTTTAACAATTTATGTTTAGGATATGGGTGGAGGACCCTTCATAAAATTGCATGTTTACTCAGAAAAGAGTAATATTTAAAATTATACAGCTAAGAGTCATAGTTTATTAGAGTGATTATAAATATTTTAGTTAACTTTTTTTAATTGCCTTTAATCCCAGAACTCAGGAGGCGGAGGCAGGCAGATCTCTGTGAGTTCTTGAGATCAGCCTGGTCTACAAGAGCTAGTTCCAGGACAGGCTCCAAAGCTACAGAGAAACCCTGTCTCAAAAAAAGCAAAATAAAAATCATAATAATTACACCATTTCCCCCTTTTCATTCCTCCCTCCAATCCCTTCTGTATATATACCCATCCTTTGCTTTCTCTAGATAGCCTGGCCTCTTTTACTTTAAAATGTCACTATTACATATTTTTTACAAATGCCTAAATACATAAATACAACCTGCTCAGCCCACTTAATGTTACTTGTATGTATATAATTTTAAAGTTAAGCATTCGGTATTGAATAGCCAATTAAGGAATTCATCCCTAAGGAAACTTATTTCTCCTACTCTCTGCATTCTGTAGTTGCCTACAATTCTTTGGCTATGGGTTCAGCCTAGTGAGATCTTCCCTTTCTTTGTTGGCATGTCTATTGGGGGTATACTTCTTCATGTCTTTTTTAGGCAGCCATAATGTTGAGGCACCATGGGTGAAATTTCCCAGTCATTTCTAGAAGGTCAATCTCACAGCAGATTTATAGGTTCTCTGGCTTTTAGAATCTTCCTGTCCCTACCCCCCCCCATTCCTTTCATGATGCTCCCTGAGACTTAGGTTCAGGAATTGTGTTTTAGATATATCAATTGAGGCTGGACACCTCGTGATCATTCGCTCTCTGTATTATATTGGATTTCGTCCATCTATAATTTACATCAAAATTAGAACATTTGCAAGAATATAGTATGTTGCCTTATAATTCCATGCTGAATTGATTTAACTAACCCTTAATTTATTGTGTCCTAAATGTAGTCAGATGCATTTGAATATTTTAATGAACAAAATGGCCAATAATTTTTCTCATCTTATATCAATGAAGTTTTTTTCTAAAATAAATTAAATGGAACTTAATTTGTTAATATATCTATTGATCATTCTGAAATTTCTTCCACTGGTTTCCTCTTTTCCAACCTAATGTTATTACTAGCACTTTAACCAAGCAGCTTCTATTTCCATATATGTGGAACTGAGAAAGACAAAATTTGTGATTTGTATTTGAGCGTCTTTTCTTTTGAGTTGCAGCCATTATTATGTTATTCTGGATTCCTTCTGGGATTCATTTTAACTCTTTTGAAAATAATGCTTATCTCTCTGGGATTCTGTGAGAATTCATTTAAGACATGCATCATGAATCATTTTGTGAACTGAAAGTTACAGCGTAACATTAAGATTGAAGGTGCCTTAATTAGTGTTTGAAGAAATCTGAAATGCCTATTTTCTTAGCTTTATTTTATTGCTCTGGCCTAAAGCAATTGCTTGTACTTTAATTGTAAATATCAAACACAAATTTTTAAAATGAGAAGTTTCTAACTGATATTTCAGATTATATTTTATATAAACAAAATTTGCTACACATTTATGGAAATTGATACATTATTTTTCATTTGATGACGTGTCATAACTATAACTCACTGGAATTATATGTCTTTTTAAAAATCATTATAATAAAATTCCTATTTCTAAATCCTTAGTCTCAATTAAACCAGTACCAAAAAGATGTTTCCAAAAGAGAAGGAAGTTGCAGTGACATCCAATTCAAGCTTCATGAACTAACAAGCTTGCTAGAAGAAAAGGATTCTCTTATAAAGCGTCAATCAGAGGTAAGAAGAAGAGGAAAATACATGGTGGAGAAGAATGGTACAATAGGTTCTGTAGAATAAATACTTTCCATAGATTAAGAAAGAAGACATTAAACTGCAGGGATGGTTCTGTTGTGAAAGACTAGACACTTAGAGCATCAAGGAAAGGACACCTTACGAAGACATACTTTACTACACATGAGAGGACATATGTGAATAGTAAGATTTCCACTTGAGAAATAATTCAACTGAAAGAAAAAATTGAAGTTAAAGGAAAAAGATTGGTGTTGTACTTTTACTATTTCTAAGAAATTTAATTTATATTTCATTAGCAGTGAAATTACTCATAGCCCGTGATCTCACTCCTAGGTCATGAACTAATCTTTCATTAAGGTACTATATTATATCAGCAGCAAGTAGCCCCAAATCTGTCATACAATAAGTACTAAAGGAACTATTAAAAACAATGGGCTAATATTTTATTGCTGTTATTTAAAAAATGTCACTTGCAGTTTTCTGTTTGGACTCTGCATCTACTTCCTTATTGAAATTTCATCATCATCATCATCATCATCATCATCATCATTAATTAGCCTAACTTTAAACTGTTCAAAACAAAAGCAATCACATTCTCATACTGAGAGAAGCATGTCCAATAAATTGTTGATATCCTACCTCAGTTAGTGGGGTTCTTCAAAGGCATGTATAGCATTTTGGCTACTGTGGATCAAGATTAGTAGGATTAAAACATTTTATATAAAAACAAAGCAGGAGAAGTGGTGGGGGTTATTCTTAGTAATCATATTAGCTCATGTTTATATTTCTATTTAAAGAATCATTGTGTTTTCTTTGTAAGGAACTCTCAAAGTTGAGACAGGAAATATATTCATCCCATAACCAACCCTCCAGTGTTGGAAGGACAACAATCACCACAAAAAAGTAATGTACTTTAAAATGGCATTTGAATGTGTGATGTTATTATAAAATTTAAGTTGTTATTCTCTTAGTTGATGTGTAGATCATTATAAAGAGGTTGATTTTTACTCATAAGCAATTATACTGAAGAATGGATGTTTAGAAAAGGCATTACTACCATAGTTAGGATAATTGTGTATTGTAGCATAATTAATAAAACACAGAGACAGAAATTGGGGTTCAACCTGAAGGTCAGAAAATCAAACCAGTCAGCCACTGGCTCTTACCTCTACCTCAGTCCAAAAATGGTGGTCCTCCCTCCAGGAATTTCAGATTGAGACTGTGTGTGAGAGCTGTCTCCTCCTGCTTTATATTCCACTCTAGGGCTGGAATTAAAGACATGCACCCCTGTTGCTTGGTTTTTATGGCAAACTAGTGTGACTCCTGGGATTTAAGGTGTGTGTCATCACTACCTGGTCTGTAAGGTTAATCAGTGCAGCTGTTTTACTCTCTGAACTTCAGGCAAACTTTATTTATTAAAATATAAATGAAATATAACTACGGTGTATCATTAATAGAATGTTAAGTACTAGAGAAGTAAAAATAAATAATTGGTTATTATGTATGACTATATGTATATGACATTATATGTATCATGGTGCATGTATATACACATATATATGAAATCTATATATTCTTTAAATAGATTTCTATTAAATTCCTTTCCCCTTGCAGTTGGCTAGTTTTTATGGTAGAATATTAATTTTATTCCACTGATCTGCCTGCATTTATGTCATTGTCACACTACTATTATTCCTATAGGTCAGTAAATCTAAAGCAGGAATGCTGCTCTTCAAATCATTCTTGCCTACATTATTTTTCCTACTAGTGGACTCTTGCTTTTTTATATGAATGTTAGGTATGTTTGTAGAATTATGTAAAAAATGTATTTGTACCTTGTTAATTCTCATTACATTTCATATATATAATAGTTCTTATCAACATCTTAAAAATAGTAACTATTCTAATCCATGTGTATGGGAACTTTTAGAGTTAAACTCTATCTTTAATTCATTCTTTTCTCTCCAAATTCTTTATTCTTTTGGTTGAAGTATGTGCAGATCTTATGCATATTGTCACCTTTATTGTGACTTCATATGTTTACCTGCCCTGTTGTTTTGGGAAAATATTTTTTTTCTTGATGTTACCGACCACCTCTGATTCCAAAGTCAATTCTTTTTTCTCTTTTTTTCTAAATATATATTTTATTTGTTTTACAAACCAACCAATGTTTCCTCTCCTGCCTCTCATCCCTAATCCCTCCCCTCATTTCCTCTCTGCTATCCATTTGCCCCTCCCCATCTCATACTCTGTCTCTATTCAGAGGGCAGGGCTCCCATTGTTATCAATCAAATATGGCATACTAAATTGATGAGGCAACCCAGTATGAGTATGAGGGTCCCAAAGCCTGCCAAAAGAGTCAAAGATTGCTCCTGCTCCCACTGTTAGGAACCCCCACAAGAAGACCAAACTACAAAATTGTAATATATAATCAGAGGGTCTAGTTAACTTCCATGGAGGCACCCTGTTTGCCGGTTCAGTCTCAGTGAGCTCCTATTAGCACAGGGAGTTGAATCTGTGGGTTTTCTTGTGGTGTCCTTGACCCCTCTGGCTCCCACAGTATTTCCTCCCTATCTTCAGCAGGATTCCCCCCGAGTTCTGTCTAATGTTTGACTGCGGCTCTTTGCATCTGTTTCTGTGAGTTGCTACATGAAGCATCTCTAATAATGATTGGGCTAAGCATTAATCTATGAGTGTAGCAGAATATTATTAAGAATCATTTCATTGCTTTTTTTCCAGTTGTTTTCGGTTTTATCCTAGGTCTCTGGGTTATATAGCATCTTGTTCCTGGCTCACCAGGTAGTATCATGGATGAGATCACTCTTGTGGCATAGAACTAAACTGGACCAGCCATTGGTTGGCCACTCCCATAATTTTTGAGCCACCTATATCCTAACACATCTTGTAAGCAGGACAATTTGTAGATTGAAATTTATGTGACTGGGTTGTTGTCCCAATCCTTTCACTGGATGTCTTGCCTGGTTACAGGAGATGGCCAGTTCAGGGTCCATATTCCCCACTACTAGGAGTCTAGAAGATATTAAAAGATGGAAAGATCTCCCATGCTCATGGATTAGTAGGATTAGTATAGTAAAAATGGTGATCTTACCAAAAGCAAGATTGATTCAATGCAATCCCCATAAGAATTTTAACATAATTCTTTACAGACATTGAAAGAAAAATAACTCATTTTATATAGAAAATCAACAAACCAAGGTAGATAAAACAGTCCTGTACAATGAAAGAACTTGTGTAGTTATCACCATCCCTGATTTCAAGCTCTACTACAAAGCTATAGCAATAAAAGCTGCATGGTGTTGACACAAAAGCAGACAGGTGGATCAATGGAATTGGATGAAAGTTTCAGATGTAAATTCATACACCTATGTACATCTGATATTTGATAAAGAAGCCTAAGTAAAATACTGGAGGAAAGAAAGCAAGCATCTTCAATAAATCATGCTGGTCTAAGTGGATGTCAGCATATAAAAGAAAGCAAATAAATCCATATCTATCACTCTGCACAAAACTCAAGTCCAAATAGATCAAAGACCTCAACATAAAACCAGATACACTGAATCTGACAGAAGAGAAGCTGGGGAATAGCCCTGAACACGTTAGCAAGAGATACAGATACAAGTTTCTGAACAGAACACCAATAATGCAGGCACTAAGATTGATAATTAATAACTGGGACCTCATGAAACTGAAAAACTTCTATAAGAAAGGACACCATCAATAGGACAAATGGCAGCTTTAGACTGGGAAAAGATTTCCTCCAAGACCACATAGAGGGCTGATATCAAAAATATATAAAGAACTCAAGAAACTAGATACCATCAAACCAAATAATCCAATTAAAATGAGATACAGTTCTAAACAGAGAATTCTTAACAGAGGAATCTCAAATGGCTGAGAAACACTTAAGAGATGTACAACATTCTTAGCCATCAGGGAAATGCAAATCAAAACAACTCTGGGATTCCATCTTACACTTGTCAGAATGGCTAAGATTAAAAACACAAGAAACAGCTCATACTGGTGAGGAAGTGAAGCAAGGGGAACACCCCTCCACTGCTGGTGGGAGTACAAACTAGTAGAGCCACTTTGGAAATCAGCATGTGATTTCTCAGAAAATTGGGAATAGATGTACCTCAAGACCCAGCTATAAAACTCCTAGGCATATAGCTAAACGATGCTCCATCCTACCACAAGGACACTTGCTCAATTATGTACATAGCACCATTATTTGTAATAGCCAGAAACTGGAAATAACATCGATGTCCCTCCACCAAAGAATGGATAAAGAAATTGTGATACATTTACACAATGAAGCATTAAAAACAATGATATCATGAAATTTGAAAGCAAATGAATGGTCCTAGAAAAAAAAATCATCCTAAGTGAGGTAGTGCAGGCCCAGAAAGGCAAACATGATATGTACTCACTTATGAGTGTATATTAGCTGTAAAGGATAATCACACTACAATCCACAGACCCAGAGAGACTCAACCACAAGGATTGCTCAAGGGCAGACACATAGATCTCCATGGGAAGGTGAATACAAGGGATCTTATGGGTGGACTGGGAGTGGTTAGGTATGTGAACATGAAGAATCAGATGGAGGGAGAGAGTACTGAGAGAGACAACAGAAATTGGGGGATATCTTGAGGATGAGCTAGAAACCTAGCACAACAGAAATTCCCAGAAATCTATGAGGTTGAACCTAGCTAAGCAAGCAATTCTTTTCATTTTAAGAGATGCTCTTACTGTGCAGAGCTGGTGTTGTAGTTACTTTTCTGTTGCTGTGAAGAGACAGTGACCAAAGCAAATTATATATATAAAAAATGAGTTTACTTGAGGGTTTGCTTAGAGTATCAGAAGGTGAGTCCTTGATCATCAGAGTAGGAAGCATGGTAGGTAAGCAGGATGGCAATGGCACTGGTAGGAAGCATGGTAGGTAGGCAGGATAGCATGGCACTGGAACAGTAGCTGAGAGTTATGTCTGGTCCACAATCTCAGTGAAAAGTGTGGGAGAGAGGGAAGAAGAGAAAGAAAGAGGAGGAAAGAGAGAGACTGAGTGAGAGGAAAGACTAGACCTGGGATTTTGAAGCCCACCCGCAGTCACACACCTCCTCCAACAAGATCACACCTTCTAATCCTTTCCAAGACAGTTCCACTAATTAGGGACCAAACATTCACATGTATGAACCAATGAGGAATATTCCCATTTAAGCCCCCATATTTGGTTGACCAGGCTGGCCTCCAAACCACAGAAATGCACCTACCTTTGTCTCTCAACTTCTGGGATTAAAGGTGTACACCACCATGCCCAGTTGCCTTTCAGTTAATGAGACAGTAATTTGTAGTTTTCAAATTATAAATCTTACATTCTTTGTTATGTTCTGTCCTAAGTATTTTTTATGATATTGTCAGTATATTTTCTTTAAAGAAAACGAACAAACAAACAAAAAAGAATCTTATACTATATAAATCTTAAACTTCTTGCTACATTTATTTTTAAGTATTGGGGTTTTGTTTTCATGTTACTGTTAGTACAGTTATTTTCTTTCTTTCTTAAGGGAAAAAACTTCATGTGTATGGTGTTTTGCCTGCATGTGTATCTGTGTCCTGTTTACATATCTGGGTGAATGGGAGGTCCAGAAGAGGGCATTAGATCTCCCACAACCAGGTTGCCGATGGTTTTAAGCCAGAGTCCTCTGAAAGAGCAGCCAGTACTCTGAACCTCCGAGCCATCTCTCCAACTCCTAGAATTGTTGTCTTAACTTTATTTTCACATTACTCATTATAAGGGTATAGGATCACAGTTTGTAGTGTGTGTATTCATTTTATATTCTTCAAGGTTAAAGATATAATAGTTTGGTTTTTTACTGAATTCATCAAAATAGTCTTATGAGATCATTCCATTTGCATATAATTTCTTCATTTTCATTCTAGATACATTTTATTTCCTTTTTAAATTGCCTTGATACCTCCAATACAATGTTAAATAGAAATAAAAAAAAGGGAATTTTTTCATTTTACTGTTCTTGGTTAGTGGATGGGTGAAATTTACTCAGTACTTTTAAAATATTATGTTAGCTGTGAGTTTTTATTTAATTGAAGATGTTCACTTGTGTTCTTTATAAAGTTCTTTTTCAAGTTATGATAGTGCTAGAAAATTTATATTAGATGATCAAAAGAGTACATGCATGATTCTGTAAATAACATATTACATTAAGTGATTTCTAAGATGTTACAATATCATATTGTTTGAATCAAATGCTTTTTTTCATGTTACAAAATTATTTTGTATGTTATTAGATTTGATTTGTGCAATTATTTTATATGTTATTAGATTTGATTTACTAACATTTTATTGAGAATTTTTACTTCTGCATTCCCGAATGATATTGATCTGTTTTTTTTTTTTCCTTTACTCTTGTGATGTATTTCTTGTTATGGTAGCAGGGTACAACTTACTTTAGAAAATGAAATCAAAATTGTGTGTGTGTGTGTGTGTGTGTGTGTGTGTATGTGTGTGTGTGTCTAATCTATATTTTTGGGAGAAATACCAAGCATTAATTCTTTAAGTTCCTGAAACACTATATTCATTGCAAATATTTGAGGATTGTTTTTTCTTTGTGGGAAGTTAGTTTACTCTTGCTTTGTTTTTTATAGTTTTTCTGTTTGTTCCTGTGAGATTTATTCTTGGTATTCTCCCAAGAATTTATACATTTAATTTGTGTTATGTAGTTTTTCAACATAGAGATTTTCATAGAACTTCTATGTTATGAGTTTTACTTTTCCAAAGTCCGTAATAGTGATTTTCCCTTTTCCTTATATGATTTCAGTAATTTGAGTTCTTTCCTTTTTCTTGGTCAATCTGTATTAACATTTTGCTTTTCATTTATAATACTTATTTTTATTGATTAAATTTGTTCTTTAACAATTTCACAAAGGTACACAATGTACTCTATCTATTCTCATTTCCCATTGGCTCTTTTTTTTTAACTTTTTTTTTATTGAGAAAAGAGAAAAAAAAAACAAATTTCCTCCTCCTCCCAGCCTCCCATTTCCCTCCCCCTCCTCCCACCCTTCTCCCCCTCCCCCCACTCCTCTCCCCCTCCCTCTCCAGCCCAAAGAGCAGTCAGATTTCCCTGCCCTGTGGTAAGTCCTAGGTCCTCCCCCCTCCGTGCATTTCTAGGAAGGTGAACATCCAAACTGGCTAGGCTCCCACAAAGCCAGCACATTACGTAGGTTCAAAACCCCGTGCCATTGTCCTTGGGTTTTATTTCCCTCATCTGTCATCTACCCCTCCTCCCTTCAAATTCCTTTCCCAGATCCATGGCTTTTTTCTTTCTTCAAAGTCAATAATAGTGACTCTCTATTTTACCTGTGCAATTTTAGCAATTTGAGACCTTTCTCTTTTTCTTGGTCAATCAATGTTAATAATTTAGAAATAATTTTGATTTCAGTGATTTCTGTTTATCTCTAATATAATCTTTATTTTTTGGACTTTTGATACAAGTTTTCTCTGTAGCTTTTGAGCCCATCCTGGAACTTGCTCTTGTAGACCAGGCTGGTCTTGTACTCACAGAGATCCACCTGCCTCTGCCTCCTGAGTGCTGGGATTAAAGACATGTGCCACCACTGCCTGATTAAAATTTTATTTTATACTAGGCTGTGTGTGTGCTTACTTTTTAAAAATAGTTTCTAAGATACAAACCTATGTGATTGGGATTGTTCTTTTCTTATAAAAGAGGCAATATAACTAATATTTTTCTTGAGCCTCGCTTTATTAATTGTTTGAAAATATCACTTAACCTACAAATTTTTGTGAATTTCTCAAGGTATTCACTTTTATTTCTGATATCACTTCATTTTAACTGGAACATACACTGTTCTTAAAGTTGTTGACTATTGTTTCTTTGTCTAACATTTAGTCTACCAAACACAAAATTCCATATATATTAAAATACATATTTTAATTCATTGTAGGTAGAAAATATTATTGATATCTTCTAGGCATGGTTGTAAAATGTTATTCAAGCCTATTCCCATGTTCACATACTGTCCATTCTATTATAGAAAGCGGTTACTGAAACCATGTTCATTTCTGCCCAGTTTTAGTTCATGTAGTTTTGAATTCTATTATTAGGTTTATGTATGTGTATTATTTTTGTAATGGCTTTTGAAATTTCCTACAGAATTTCTTTTTTAAATGCATTTATTTATTTTGAATATGGATACCACGGTACACATGTGTTGATTACGGGACCACTTGTGGGACTTGATTTTCCTATTCCATCAAGTACATTCTGATGATTGAACTCTGGTCAGCAAGCTCAGAAGAAAGGGTTAGCTAATGTTCTGGCCTTCAGTGTAATGCACTCTTGCAAAAGTCTTTAAACTCTCAAAGACTGGTTCCAATAACATATTTCTTCCAACAAGGCCAGACCTCCTAAATGTCCCCAGACAACTCTACCAACTAGGGACCAGACATTCAAATTTCTGAGATTGTGGAGGACAGTTCATTCAGACCACCACACAGAAGCTTCAGTCCATGGTTGTTTGATCTCACTGCCTTTGTTTAGCCTATGGTAAGACACAACTTCTTAGCAGTGAACACATGACAGAAGTAGATGTTTATCACATTACAGTCAAGAAGTGAAGAAGATGAGAGGTCTGGCTCTGGTCTCAACATCTTCTATACCATACCTCCAATGACCTTAGTTACTTTCACTTGACCTCATCTCCTAAAGGTCATGTCACTTCCTAGTAGTGCTACAGATTAGCAACCACATTTGCTTTTCGAAAACATACCTACATTATAGCAGAATTTTCTGCTATATAGTTTATATAATATAATCAGTTTTTCTGAGGATTTCTTTAATTTAGAGAATTACTTTTTGTTTGCTTATTTTTAAATAGCACAGCTAGCTGGTTCTTTATATAATTAAACAATTTACAGTCAGAAAGCATATTAAAAACCCTTATACTTATTGCAACTATCTACAAGGTGTGTTAAAATCTACCATTTTGCTAGATGCTTGCTGTTTATTCAACATTCTTATTGTTCCTTCTTTTTCCATCTTTTATTTAGAATTTTTCATGATTATATATCATCTATGTTATTTGTTTATTATGTGTATTTATTTTCATTACTTTATAATTTTTAATAAATAGCATTATTTAGCCTATCAATCTACCCTCAAACACTATTATACTCTATTATAAGAAGTATATTTTTATCTCTTCTTTATGATCTCTTTTCTATTTTTAGCATGTGTACTTTCTCATATACATAATGAAAAAAGTTACTTTTAAATGTTAACTACCTTTTAAAACATATTGAGAATAACAAAACAATTATTTTAAATCTCTCTACATCATTGTCTTTTCTGATTCTATTAAATCTTTACCCTGGGTCCAATTTTTATCCAGTATCACATTTCTCTTCCTGCATTTTTGGCTGCTCTTCTAGCAAACAATACAATCGGCTTTTTAAGTTGGAAAACAATCTTTATCTTGCCTACATTATTCAAAGTGAGAATAGTAACCCTTTATGTGACAGGCATATGCTCCTAATCACACTGCATATCTGACATCCTGGAAAGTATAAACCCTTATATAAACTTTGTCTTTTCTTATTTTATTTTAAAAACAGATATTATCAATATCAGCATATAATTTTTTCCTTTATTGAGTACAGATGTTTTACCTAGTCGCTTAAAGAATGTATATATCTGAATATTCAGCATCACTAACCTTGTACTTTAGGAAAATAAAATGGTGATGTGGGGTACCATTGGTTGATCTGGTAATAAAGAAAGCTGAGTTACTGTGAGTAGCATTTATGGCATGGATATATTAGGTAAAACAATAGTTCACATGGAGAATAAGGTACAACAAAACAAGATTTATTACCCTACTAAGAATGGTGCAATATTTATAATTTAAGAATTATTTCATGGTGGAATTTTTTTAAATTATTTTTTTAAAAAAATATTTATTTATTTATTATGTATACAATATTCTGTCTGTGTGTATGCCTAAAGGCCAGAAGAGGGTGCCAGACCTCTTTACAGATGGTTGTGAGCCACCATGTGGTTGCTGGGAATTGAACTCAGGACCTTTGGAAGAGCAGGCAGTGCTCTTAACCACTGAGCCATCTCTCCAGCCCCTCATGTTGGAATTTTTATCTAGTATTTTGAAACATATTTGACAATGAGTATTTGGAACTGTCATAGTGAGAGGTGGAGCACGATACTGCTTTTTTTCTATGTAGAGAATAGCATTAGAGAGGTCTGCCCCTCAAGATAGGGCAGCGGCATACATTATTGTGTCACTTTATCTTGATAAGATTTCTGAAACCCATTTGTTTTTTATTTTTCTATCCTGTAAACATGAACAACTGTCTAAGGAGTGAGCTCATTACTTATGGTTCTTATTTTATTTTTGTCTTTTCTCTGTATCATTATCTTGTGCTAACAATGATCCAACATGGGCAGTGACAAAGTTTCTCCCCTTTATTAAACATAAAAATAGTGACAGTTTTTCTTTTATATTTGAGAGGGCATTTCATTTGAAATTAGTAAAAAGTCATTCAGGGATAAATTGATTTAAATAGGGGACTGGAAATAGGAGTGGCTACAAATGACAGTTATTTTGTAATACGTGTACCTGTTTTTCGTGTATAGGTACAGGACACAATATCCAATCCTAGGTCTCCTGTATGATGACTATGAATATATACCACCAGGAAGTGACACACAGACTATCGTGATTGAGAAAACTGAAGATAAATGGACTCATGTAAGTTTATTTGGGCGTTTCTAGGCTGTTTTAATTAAAACTTAGGTAAAGTATCAAATGCAGCAGAAAACTTGAAAGGCAACGGAGTATGAATGTCATGTATCAATAGAATTTGTCTTGTATTCTTGAATGTGAATACTCATTAACTTTTATTGCTTTAAAATTTGAAAAGAGAGTTGTGTCTGTTTTCTCTCTAGATTGTAAGATCCTCCAGCTTTAAATTCTGGAGTTTAATGTAAGGCTAAATAACCATGCAAATGACATGCATATTTCATTTTTATATAACTTTCTATAACTCCCTTCAACATGACCAGACAACATAGATATCAACAGCATTCTAAGTAATTCAAGCCATGAAGGGGGTGATTATTTTAAAATCTCTTTATTATAAATAGACGACAGCTATTTCTTAAGACTTTTACTACTTTCTTTGTTAACCTTTATAATAGTGATTGTCAAAGAGAAAATAGACATTCATTAGCACAGTGGTTCTTTCCAGTGGCATCTACTTCTAAATTCCAGAGCACTTAGTGTCTTTAGACAGTTTCAGTTTTCATTAGTGGTTTACTATATTGGCATCTACTGGGTATAGACCACAGGTGCTCCCATGCCACCTATGGTGTGCAGGACTACTCAGTTACAAAACAATTTTCTATCCCCAAATTTTAAAAGTGCTGAACTTCAGCAAACTTGCTAATATTAAAAAAAGAGCTCTGGAGTTTTTCTTAATTATATACTTCTACAGTTTTATGTGATATTTAATAGTAAATCATTGATCATAAGCATAGGAATGTGTAACATTTCTCAGGTACAATGGGCAGAAAGAAGTTTCAGAGTTTCACCTTTCAAACCATACGTGATCTTATTTAAAACTGTGTGGAAAGGAACTTCTGTGTTATGTTAATATTTACTTTTCAAGTGACTTATATACTAAAAACAAACAAAGCAAATCCACTGTTAGTAAACTCAAGAAGTGGTTAATCAGGAAAAGCAGGGCTGATTGCAAGACAGCATAAGAAGGGCATACAGTTTACTAATAATGTTTTGTTTTCTGAGTTGTATAGTATTGAGTATATTGTGCAATTTAGAAACTGAGGTTTATGATATATGTATTTTTACATTTTTACTGTAATGACAAACATAGTTACCAAAGTTTTAAGTCTTAAAATAATACTTCTCTAATGTTGTTACTAAAATTAAAAGTTGTTAAATGATTCACTAAAATATATATCTTTTGGTCAAATAAGCCCAAATACTTCAGTAATAATAAAGTCACCATGATTTTAGTTCTAATGGTCTTTTACACATTATGAAAGCACCAATTTTTTAAGTTACTAGTGCAAGTAAGCCATATTTAGTAAATCTTCAGCAAAAATAAAAATACATGCAAAGTTTAATCTTTCAAAGTCATTTTTCTTAGGTCATTAACTAATTGGGAACTGTTACTATCAAGTGATACAGAGAATTTGATAACTCAAAAACCAGTTAGCAACAAAAGTGGTCTGCACAGGGCACATACTTTTCATTTAAGGATAATTTGGTGCTGAAAGTTAAGACTCAGAAACAATTGCTAGACATGTGCCTCAGAGGTGACAATAGAGTAAGAACCTGTGAAATAAAGAGTCTAGTGTAGTAGCCATTTCTGTGTCACCAATGAAATAGTTAAGGTCTGAAAGGGTTATAGAAGAGTATGTTTATATAAGTTCACAGATGATAGATCTTTATTAATTATCAGAGATGTTTCAGCATGTACTTAACCTCTAAATATGTCAATAAGAAGAAAATACACCGATCTCCCTTCTTCTGGTTTGCAGCCATTTAAAACACATGCCTTAAGTCAGAGAGATTATAATTTTATTGAGCATTATATAAAGGAGTATATTCTGTTAGCAATATACATATCCAACTGAATAATTTTGGGATGTATGTGCATGTAATAATGGCAGCATTTTAAAGTAATTGTGAATCAATTTTAAGATACATTTTTTTCTTTTCTAGCCATGAATGGATCCACTTTTCAGGACTACAATTCAAAGGAAATTTTCTGTCTGCATCAGTATTTTAATAGTTATTTTCTATTGCTAAAGCACAATCAAATTGTGAACCATAGTCCTATCCCAATCAATCTAATAAGATGATTTAATTATGAAGATGAGTTCCCCCAGCCATTTAGGAGACCTGAATCCTTTTGTGCACATTGAAATATTTGATACAACACCATACAAATAGGAAAAAAAAAACCTTTGTTTCAACTCTTGTTGCAGACATTATAGAACCTAACCTGCTACTTTTATATAGGGTGCTTCATATATGTTGAACTTATTCGTAAGCATAGATTCTTTACAAGTTCTTTTATTATGTTAAATGTGCAGTTTAGCTACAAGATTCAATGCTATTTTTCAGAAAGCAGAGGCAAAGGACAATTAAATTAAAAAAATAGGTTAACTAGAGCATGAAATAAACAGCCTAAATGTACATTTCTCATATTGAGCTTATGACTAAACAAGAGTGTGGCAATGCTAATATGCCTTGGAAATAGCTAAGTCAGAGGTGGAGGTTAATGTTGTTAATCAAGGAAATGGGCTAATGTCTTTTAAAATAACTACATTAACTAAATTATACATTGTGCAACTTGTTCTAAGTACCTGGGAAAAATCTGTTCTTTCAAAACATGTTTTCTGCAAGTAATCCAATTCACTTTCTTAAAAACATATAGTACTATACTGTAGTAGTGGGGCAATAAGAATGTAGAAGTTTTCATAGTGATATAGCTATAACATTGAAATATTGCATAATCATAAAAACTTAAGTAATAAAAATAATAAAAGATATTTGATAACTGTATCTTACTTGAAGAATATTTTATAGTAGGGTCTTTAATGTATTTAGAAGTTTCTTAGTTGAATTGTAATGACTTTACAAGGTAGATACAAATATTTGCTAAATAAATTACAATAATAAATTTCATAGTATAACCTAATTAAAACCTACAATTTATTTCATCAAAGTTAGAATTAATGTAACAAATACATTCAGATTACATTTCTAGTACATAGTTTTGTACTAAAATATTTACAGAAACCTTTATAAAATTTTTCAGTTTATAGGCATATTCTAAAAATTATTCATTATACTAAGAAGCAGTTAAGATAGGCATGACTGTGGCACTATACTAACTGGACCTATAGCTGAGAAATATTTAAAAAGTCTTGATAATGAAATTAAGAGTCTTATTTATATTATCATAACATTTGAGCTAGACATTAAGTTCTGAAACACGAATAAAATTTGTTTTATCAATACAGTGATCCTCTATTTTATGAAAAGATGTTTCTCCTCTGTTAGCTACTCATATATTTAACTGTAGCAAAAGTGTAGTATATTATCTATCCATTAAAAAGGTTGTAAGAGGATGTTTTAATTACCTTGGCAGAAAGCTGCCATAATTAGTTTGAAAATGAGAATAAGTAGGACTGTTTCAAAACAACTAAAAACTATTCATATCCAAAATTATAGAGCAATTAAAATGACAGCCCATTTGATCAAGGATGGTGCGTTAGAGTCATCTAAAAGTTTCTCATTATAGTTACCAATTTTTTAAAGAAAAAAAACCCTCTTACAAAACTTAATGGCAGAGAGATTTTCTCTGTATTTGAAAATAAGATCAATAGAATTAAGACGAACTAAATTGATGTATTTTCCTTTCACCAATTCCATAAAGTTTCTCAATGATGTCAGGTGAGGATGCCTGTTTATCTCATTTCTATTTCTATGTTTTCACTTCAGATTTGTCAAATAAAATGAAGACTAAAGTCTGACATGCAAATTTGTGTATATGTCTAAATAAAAAAGATGTTAAGCATCTATATGGTCTTTGTGGAACTTCAAATTGGAGATGTATAGGAACGATTTTTAGCTTATCTTCATATATTGGCAGGAAGTTTTTATCATTCGAATGTTTATACAGGAGGTTAGAAGCAATACTGTAAAACGAAAACAAAAAAACTCTTTTTGATGTTGCCTACTAAATGTGGAACTTTAACAAAAGTTTGACAACCAACTGATGCAAAGTACAATATCATAATACCTTTGCTTACAAATTTATTTTCTAAGCCCAAACATCGTTTGCTAAGACATTTCTTCCCATCTTTATACGGGTGCTTTAGCCATATTAATTTTTTCAAACTTAAAGACTATAAAAGGAGGGCAATTTAAAAAAAATTTAACCATCAAATTTATATCAATTTAACAAAATTCTCTTTGCATTTCTTTCTCATTATTGCAATTTATAAAGATTACACTTATTTGGAAAACAGAAATTCTTTTCAAAGTAACTATTTTCAAATAATTTCCTCAAATCGCCCATTTTCACCATGACACACCATTACAAAATGTACTTTATTTTGTGGGAGTTTTTTTTTTAACTGAAAAGCACATAGTGTTCAATACTTACTCTAGGATAAATAGTAAACAAGGTATTTCAGTAAAGACTATAATAAGCATATCTTTTATTAATAAAAATACCTACTATATACTCCAGAATAAGACCTACCTCTTTTTATTATACAAATGAATAGTGGAATTGTTATGTGACACAAGTACAATTATCTTTATCTCATAAAGAATGTGTTTATACAAAGCTGGTCGTGGTGGCACATACCTTTAATCTCAGCACTCCACTCAGGAACTAGAGCAGGTGGATCTTTGAGTTTGAGGCCAGCCTGGTATGCAAAGTAAGTTCCAAGACAGCCACAGAGAAACCCTCAAAAACACCAAATTGTGTTTGTAAACTTTGGTTTCTCATCCCAGCAGTGTTTTTGTTTGAAATACATGCTACAGAATTCTTTTAAGGGGCAGACTTTAAAACAAAATGCTTAGGCCCTTTTCATTAAGTTGTTCTGGAAATATTTCTAAAACTGTATGGAGTAGCCCCACAGTTTTCCACCTGTCTTTGAAAAAGAGACGACTTTAAGCCTAGCATCAGTTTCCTACAGAAGGCAGGACTGAGCTCCACATTTGTACCTCAGGGCTTCTGAAGAGGGAGGATTCCACAGAAAAGAATGTCCCACCATTCCAGTCACTTCAGTCTAGGGAAGATGAACTGTATAGATTGGTTGTATTATAAAGCAAATATTTGAATTATCTCACCCTTTTGTGTTGCAAAGATTTTCTTGGTAATGAAATCATTTTGGTGTATATAGTAGGAAGTATCCAAGTTGGTAGTCTGAAATGACTATCTGCATTTTGTTAATAAATGAGAAAATGGAACTCAGTAATCCGTTTTATTAACAGTTTATTTAAAACAGTTTATTGGTTTTGTTTGGGGATAAATCATTTTCTAATTCAGAATTTAAGTACAAATTCTGTGGTATGCTCTTGAATTTTATCACAAGTATACATTATAAATCTATACTAGTTCATTCTAAGAACTTTAAAATCCTTTCATTAAATTATATTTGATGTATGACTAGTCACTCAGGAAGTTAAATATCTACATGTATATTTTTACATAAGAAGACAGTGTTGATAAATTCTTTTTAGAAGAACAGTAATGTTGATAGATAAAATGGCAAAATGTTTCACTGCAAGGATTATAGTTTTGAAATTTTGTTTAATAATACTTCCATGTTTCAAGATGCTTGTTCACTGTAAAATCGTTTTTAAGAATTCTGTGAAAAATGTGGATCCTCTTTATACCACAGCATTTATACTATGTTCCTTTTTAATATATTAAATGCATAAAAAAAATGACCTGGATAGAGGTGGGCAGTCCTTGGGCTTCCCACAGGTCAGGGAACCCTGATTGCTCTTCGAGCAGATGAGGGAGGGGGACTTGATCGGGGGAGGGGGAGGGAAATGGGAAGCGGTTGTGGGGACAAGGCAGAAATCCTTAATAAATAAATAAATTTAAAAAATAAAAAAAATGCTTTAGTAATGTACTTTGCTAATACCATCGGTGTTGAATACTTTTTGTGTGAATCTGGACCCAACAAAACCAATTTATTTAAATGAGCCAATATATACATATTTTATGTAGTTTCCTAAAGGAGTCTAGTGAGACAGTCATACTGAGGAAAATATCTGTTTCTAGAATGACAGAGATTGTAAATCAGATGGGAGGTGACTTAAGACATTAAGGAATGTATGAGGCAATATTAATACTTCCAATTGGTTCAGGTTTTTAAATAAAACACAATTCTCTTTGGGGTAGTTACTTGAAAATGTACAAATATAAAGGCATAATAGTTGGAAAAGGCAGGCATCTAGGATCAGAGTTTGTATGCAACCTCTCTTATAGGTTTCAGGTGTACAAGGTAATGCTTTAGAAGGATAGAGTTGATCTACATGAAATTGAGAAATAAGATTCTTCAAACTAATGATATTCTATAGTTATAACATAGTCCTATACCAGCATGTTCTTCTAAACAAACATTTACTCAAAAATTAAAGAAAAAAAAAACTTAATTGGATAGAGTCCCAGGTTTAGTCGGCTATGATTCTATGGTTCCTCTGCCTTCATAAATGAGAAAATTCTATCATTTACCAAAACTTCTTTAAATAGTTTCTGGGGTTCCCTTCAAATTAAACCACTGGGAGAGGGAGGCATCAAATAACCAATTATTGTTAAGTGAATAAAGAGAATAAAAATAATATAAATGAAACAAGCTTTGTAATGTAACCTTAATCATTGAAGATTTGTAATGGGTACACAGAACTTAATTTTATTCCTGAATTTGTGTGTATAAAAAATCTTTTCAAGAGCAGTGCAAGATTGATATTGGTGGTTATCCTGCTTGGGACATGAGTTGATTCTGAGAACTCTATCTGGGAAGAAATTCCTGATACTTTGTGTCAAGCCATAGATCATTTTTAAAGTTGTTGAACATTAAAAGTAGTTGAAAAAATCCATCAGCACATGATGGCTATTCTGTAAAAAGGACTTTTCAGTAATTTCCATATAGACACACAGGGCAGTCCTGTGCCAAGAAAACCTGTTCTTTAAATGACTACCTTTAATTTGTAATGTGAGCTGAATTTTGATTCTGTCTGGACTGAAGCTTTTAAGAGACAATTTGTAACAGATCTATTTTTTTTTAGTTCCACTGTAATCACGAACAATCTCTTTATATGGCACCTTGCTTCCCTCAGAAACTCTGTGATATAGTCCTTATGGTCTCCGGAATGATCCTCAAATATAAACTAAAGGGAAAAAATGAAAGAAAGAAAGAGGTAGGAAGGAAGAGAAATAAAGAAAAAGAAAGAAAGAAAACTGTACTCCATTCTTTCAAATCCACAGTGGTTTCCAACCAGAAATTTCTCACAGGTCTCATCTCTTTATCAGTCCTACTTGCTCACCATTGTTTGTCAGTTTATTTCAAATCAGATTATTTGTATTTACAGGTTTCATTTTCTTGCTCTTAATGGCATGTCCTCAATATGGGTTGTCTTTATCCACTTACCCAGTTATTTAAGCAAGAACAGAGAACTATATTCTAGAATTACACTGGATACTTTTTATCAGCTTAGTACTCACAGGACGACAACACAGGTAAACTTGCTAGAAATACAAAACTGCAGTCACTACAACTGAATTTGAATGTGCATGTCAATAAGATCCCTACGTGAACGTGTGAATTACTGGATTTGTGGGTACTGGTCTAATACATGAAGTTAACAGATTTTTACTGCTGATGGGCTTTAAAGAATAATCACTCAGTTGGCAGAATTTTAACTTATAGTGATATATATGTATATTAGCAATATGAATTCTGTTAAATAATAACTACTGGAGAATAGCACATTAGTGTATGCTTATTTTAAGAAACATTTCCCAAATGATTAAATCAATGATTTGTCTTCTGAATGTATATTGGGAAAGTTTAAGTGAGAAGTCTTTAATAAAGAAATGCCATTATAACACAACTTTAAACAAACTTAGAAAACTTTGAAGTGCAATAAATGCTTTTTATTGTATGCTCATTTCAATGAGTAACATTTAGAAATAATAAGTCCACATAACAGTAACAATCTTATTTTACAGCGTGTACATCATTTACAGCCACATAACACACAAGTTTAGTACATTTTCCAAATTTAGTTTTCTGAAGTTAAGAAAGATAAAAAATTTGTTTTCAAGTAACTGATTCTTATCTGGTGCAAAACAGAAAGATGAATATTACTTAAAATACAAAGCCACAATATAGCATGAAGAAAAAGTACATTTTAGTTATGCTGAACAGTTGAATATAAACTAAATTAAGCCAACTAAAACTTAAAAGTACACATCATATGCATTACATTTATGAACAGGATTTTCATTAAAATTCCCTACACCAGCTTTTAATATTAAGTGTCATTTTGATTTGCAGCATGCTAACACAAAGCGTTGTTAAAGGGATGCATATTTTAAATTTATACACTGTAAACTGAATATCCACCTCCAAACTCTATTGGCAGCATATTGTTCTGTTAAATACTGCATAAATACCGCCTCATTGAAAATTTATATTAAGAATATGGTATATAGATTGTAAAAACCAAACTTTACAATAATGGCATAAAATTGCACCTTTAAACATTAAAGCAAGTAAGACTTAAACAGTCATACTTACTAAAACTGTCCTAAAAATTCTAAATATTTAAGAAAACTGTTCTCTCAATTAATATTTAGATTATAAGAAACATAGTGCTGACTTTGTAACATAGTTGTAGCCATTTTAGAAAGCCACATTTAACTCAAATACACCTTTATCATATATGCCATACTGAATCTACTTGAACACCAAAACTGGAACTTTATTTCTTATATTTCACTTCAGATTTCAGCACAGAATACGATGTCTTAAACATCCTATCCTGTGATAAAATATTGGCAACTCTAAAGTTCTCTTTTTTTACTAGCACTGAATTAATATAACTTGTTTTCTCAGTGAGATTCTTTGTAACGAATACACAAAACATTTGCCATTTCTGGAATCCAATGTCCAGGTACAATATAAAAGGCTCAATGACTAAGTGACTGATGGATGACTGCATTTTCTTTGCCCACCCCATTTCTAAAATTGCATAAAAGTGAGGCTGCTTGCTACAGCAAAGCATTTCTAAATCGATTATGTATCTTCTTTCAAAAACACTTATCTCTAGTGTGACCAATCAAATAAGGTGTCTTAACTTTTCCCCTCTGTAGTTTAGTTATGCATATAATACTGTTAATACAGAGTTAAGTTTCTCTGCAACCATCCTATGGTGCATCTTAAACTCATTAAGTAATTTTCAAAGGGCTATGAGATCCCCCTTCTAATCCAAATATTTTAAGATCTTTAATACAAAGAATGTAAAGGTATGACTTAATATCAAGCTTTGAAACCAGATAAAACAGTGAGATTCTCCTCCCAAATAGCATCTTATTTTGTAAATAACTTCCTTATATTGATCTTACTATATAAGAGTCTCCTTGTGGTGCCTCATTATATGCTGGTTTTTTTCTGATGGCCTTCGGAATCCCTTCTTGCAGAATTCACACCTGTGTGGATAGTCTTTTGTATGTATGGAAATCACATGCCGTTTAAATCCAGATGCATCTGTGGTGCTGTATTCACAATATTCACATTGGTAAATCTTCCTTCCAGTATGCGTCTTCATGTGCTTTTTGAGCTCATTCTGTTGTCTGAACCCTCTCTTGCACCGCTTACACTTCAATGACTGATCTTTAGTATGAACTGATAGGATATGACCACTAAGAATAAATGGATCTGATGTTTTAAAGTCACAGTGCCTACACTGATGAATCTTTCTACCCTTATGAATATCACTATGTTTTTTAAGCTCTGAAGGACGATGAAAACCTTTATCACAGACTTCACATTTGTGAGGGAAGTCCTTGGTATGGACAGATATGATGTGCCGCTTAAGGTCACTTGAGTTGGTGCTCTTGTGATCACAATGAGGACATTGGTGTGTTTTATGTCCTTGAAACAAATCCAGATGGCGTTGAAGCTCTCTTTCATCACCAAATGCTTGAGGACAATGCTCGCATTTATACGGCAAGTTGTTACCATGCTTAGACTTAATGTGAGTTTTCAGATTTGATTGATCTGCACACCTGAAGACACAATACTGACACTGATATGGCTTCTCACCGGTATGGGTTCTCATATGTTTCTTGAGTTCAGAAGGATGACGAAAACCCTTTCCACACTCAACACAAACATGAGGGAAATTCTTACTGTGAACAGCCAGCAAATGTCTGTTTAACAGTCCTTGTTCGGCAGTTTCATAGTCACAGTACTTGCACTTGTGCATCTTCGGCTCCTTGTCTCTTAAGATGAGTTTATTTGAACTCAGTGGACTAGCTTCTCTGTATCTTCGAGTGTATTCTGTAAATTCATGGGTTTTGTCAACTTTGTTTATGAGCTTATGGCTTTCTAAGTGGTTATGGAAACTAACTTTCTTGTTAGTTGTAAAGTCACAATCTGTACACTGATATTTCTTTCTCATCAAATGATCAGGATGATTCTTCATGTGTCTTTTTAAGAATCCCCTGGATTTAAACTTTTTTGTGCAAATATGGCAAGGGTATACTGTCAAGGGCTGTCCATCAGGGCCTATTATAACAGCTGGATAGAAAAAAAAGGAAATTGTGACATTTGATCACACTGCTTTAAAATAATTTACAAAACTGCTCCTGAAACTAGCTAAAATTCACTATGTGGAAATACTAAGTTGAATAAAAGCCTTATAAGATAAAAATGCATTTTATAAAATTTTTGTAGTAATGTTGCTTACTGACTAATGAG